CAGTCATGCCAAAGTGAACATGATTCTCTCATTCTCTTATTCTAATTCGTCAATGCTTGTGCTGGTCCAACATTTTTTTTATAAATGAGGTTTTTGCAGTCTCAGTGTAAAAACCGAGTCAAAATAGATAATACTGACTCGCTAATAATGGCTTTCTTATCTTACAGTCCTTCACTTTATCACTATTAGTTGTTATACCCAGAATAGAATCACATTTTCGGGCAAGTACAACAGTGGCGATAGATGTGGCTGCTTTCACCAAGCCTTATGTGAGCCTCCTGAGAGAAATCTCAGGAGTCATATGAGCAGTTCAGGATCAAACAGTCTGAGGCCGCAGAGCCCTGAATGGCTCAATCTACTCTTGTCTGTACATATAGTGGACCTTTATGGCTCAGCTTTCCAATTCTTCACCATGGTTGCTCAGACTGAGTCAGAGGTTCAAGAGTTTTTTGTGTGAGTGCAACAACTGCTGCCAGAATGAGTCAATATGGAGGAGACATTTGGATGGGTTTTATAGACCTCAATCGCTGCAGGAGAACAACTAAATATCAGAGGTTATTAAGATGATACTGCAGGTGTATGGTGGTAAAAAAAGAAGTTCTACTAACTGAGGGAATCTCTTTTCAAACCTCAACCAGGGTGAAAAAAGCAGGTTAAGAAGCTAAAGAGTATGTCAACTTTTTATAAGGATAGATTGAAAGAAAGCAAGTGAGGTGGGTGTACACTTTGCTCACTATGAGCAATAACAAGGAATGAAATGATTGAGGTTGGCCAGCGTGGAACAGAACCTCTCACATTGCCTTCAAATCTTGACTGGAACAAACAAACTCAGAAAAATTCTTGGAAATTGAAAGCTCCATTCAGCGAAGCACAATATAATTGGGTTAAAGAGAATAAGGCCTTGGCACAAACTACAAAAGATGCATTTTCCGAGATTTTTAGTCTCAACAAGAAATCCACTGTCAGACAGACAACAAGAAAACAGACATTGGGGAGTGTAACTCATCTCAAAGGGACACTACTGCAATTCAGTATTGTACTTCCATAAAATTGGGGGATTTGCAAATGCCAGATTTGAAAAAAAAAAAGGGGGTCAAAATCGACATAGCAGGGGGTTGACATTTTTTGTCCCTATGGGTCAAACTACAAAACTTTTTTCCCATAATGCAACTCAATAGCACCTCTTGTTCGCCTGGTTAATGCCAAAATATTTCAAACTGAAATGAACAGCAGTCCCATGTTAAAAGTCCAATGTTTTGTCGATGTTAACAACTTCCCACTACTTCCTTCTGTAAAGTCACCTGGGCTACGCTTTCTATTAACATAATGAGGAAATGTTGTTATTAACTATCATGAGCGAAATAAGCAGTCAACACCATGACTGAGTATTTCCACCTTGAAACTGCAGTGAACCAATGACAGTCTCATAAAAACGGATTCAGACAACCAGGGTTTAGTACGTCATATAACTAAGGAACCAATCCCTTCAACTTGCGGGAAAAAGGGGTATACAAAGTAAACGCAAAACCTAGTCAGTGCAGAGGGCAACAGTTTGCATTAGCACAACCACTAACACTGTGTCAGCCACTGTCAGTTGCGAGCTAACTAACAGCACTAAAAGATGCTAACTATGCTAACCGTTCTGATATGTCTGCTAGCCAACACACTCCTCATCTGAGTCAGGGTCTGGCTGAGGGTCAAACATGTAGCTGTGTCTCATCAACGTTTCCTCAAACAATAACCATCATGATACTCTCTGCTCCTTCACCAGTGACTGAAACCTTGTCATTGCAGAAAGTTTGCATTAGCACAGCCACTGCCAGTTACAACCTTACAAACAACATAACCAATTAACTATGCTTACCGTTCTGATACATCTTTTATTCGCCGGTTTTGGTGCACAATAAACTCCCCAAAAACTCCTGAGTCTGCGTCTGACTGAGGCTCACACATATAGCTCTGTATCTATGATGTTTCCTTGGCTGATCATACAGTATGTTGATATGCACAGCTGTTTCACCTGCCAACCTCACGCGCGCAGCAGTGGTGGGCGGGGCTAAAGGCCTTATCCAGATTTTTGAAAGAGAAAGTAAGATGTGCTTACAACCCCAGTTTTTGATATTTTTTTTTCGCTTTTTATTTGGGAAAATCATATTAAACAAAATATTAATTACAGAATTTTTACATAGTTTAAAACATGTCTGAAGAGAAACTTTAAGTTTATGGGTATAATACAGGGAAAGTCCACTGTGACAGTGAAACAGGACATGATTACACATAATTAACATTACACACGGAAAACACAATTTTCCTCTAATCCTAAACAAAGTCTGATGTGTCAAATCAGTGGAGTGCCTCTTTAAAAGCAAGACATAAGATGTTGTGTGAAATGTGGACTTTTATAAATGAAAAGAAGCTGGTACAAATTAGCAAACTGGAGGAGAAAATGGTGGAGTAAAGCTCTATCTTGGTCACCTCCCTAATGAATAAACAGAAGACTGTGCAGGAGGAGAAGAAGAAGGTTTAGGAACAGCTCTGGAGTTGGAGACGGAACACAAAGAGAGGTGGAGCACAGGGAAAAGAAACTGAACCTGAAAGGATGTGCTTGTCAGGGAGGAAGAGGGCCTATGAGAATAAAATGAAGCTAATGGAACATATATAGAAATTGGGAGAAAAACACTGATGGAGGACAACATATGAGCAAAACAATACAATGACTTATTTGATTTGGTATGATTATCGTGTTGATACGACAATTCTTTTGATTACATCAGGAATAAAGAGTGGATTAACTTGTATTTTTGAAATCACTTAATTACGTATGGTCTGTAATAAGATTGAAAGCTACAGACGAGAGTTAAAAAAGTTTATCTTAGTGATATAAACAGAGATAGCAGAACTATGCATTTTCCACTCATTTGTATTCACATTCATTCCTCTTGAGTCATTTTCATATTTACTGAAACATCTTTGTTTACCATCTTCCAAACAAGAGATAACAAATTTTTCAAATTCACCTAGCTACAGCGGCAGACTGTTTATATTTTCCTAAATGCCTATGATGTTGTCTCTATAATAAAATATATGCCAGAAACAGCAGAAAACAAGAAATGTGTCCCTTTCAAAGACAAATACTGCACAAAAGGTGAGCCCGTGGGACAGCTTGTGCAAGCTTTTTGTGCTGTTGATCCACATATGAATGAGATAACAATTACGTGTACATTAGGTTTAAACTGTTTGGGGTGAGATTTGGCTTACTTGCCCACACTTCAGTGTAGCTCTGTAGAGGGTTATAGTAAATATAATTAGCTCATTATTTTCACAGTAGGGAACATAGCAATTGGAAACTGCTGCCTGAAACAACCCTAACAACCTGTCTTGAATTACAGGAAGTGTTATAACAGTCATTCAGGCAACACATAAGAGGGTAAAAATCAAGAAGAATATGGTTTTGTGTTGGTGGCCACAGGTTTCAAGAGCAGTGAAATCGGAGTTCCCATTTTCATGTATATTTCATATTTACACACATTTCCAAGTGTGCTTGGTTTTAGTCTTCTGCTTTTGGCTGATGAGCAGCTCCACTGCAGCAGGTGAAGTTTGGGTGTCTTGAACGATGGTAGCTTTATGGCAGATGTTTCCTCAGCAGCATTTGCCAGCCCAGCTGTGGATTTGAACCACAGATCTGCCCCTCCAAACTTGAGGCTTGTAAATTATATAAAAGGTTTGCTGACCGGGATCTCTCAGAGGCAGAGGGATGGGCATGGCTGCTTTTCATAGAGCTGACATTACAGGCCAGACTGTCGCTGTCCACTTTATTTGGATCTGAATCAGTGCTCACACTGCATACATGAAGAGCATGTTGTTTAGGACACACAATGCTATACTGTGGGAAACAGAAATCCAGCACCCCCTGGTGTCAAGATGGAAGCTCTCATTCCCTGTGTTAACTTTCCCAGTTCACGCTTTAACAAACATTAATACACAATTAGACTTTCTTCGAAAGTCAGTTAATGGCTGCATGTCAAAAGTAGCCTACAACAAGATATAGAAACTTACAGTACAATAATTAATACATAATTTAGCTGATTAAAAAAAGAGTAGGATTGTTTCTGAGACTTAAATCAGGCTTTTAGTGGTTGAAGCTCTTAATGGCTGGAAAGAACAAATATGGCTTGTCTGGTTTTGAGAAAATCTTTATTTATAAGGTGAAATGCTCAAAAACAATACCTTTGCTCACAGTCTTTAAAGGAGAAATAGAGACATTTTATTATGTTTTAAATAGAACAGAATGTTTTGTTTTAAGGGATAATTAATTTAATCAATTACATTTTAAATGTCTTTATCATTTTCTTTTTTTAACTCATAGTTTGTCTATGTAATTTTCAGACATTTTTCTGTTCTGATATTTATGTGTGCATTGAGGTTGTTTCCAGTCCTTTTGTCCATGTTGCCTATGTTGTAGGCTTTTATGCAATGTTTAGATTAATAATTGTAAAATAATAACAGTAGCAATAATAACAATGATAATCAATCAATCAATCAATCAATCAATCAATCAATCAATCAATCAATCAATCAAATAAAGCTTATTCCTGGAGTGGGTGGAGCAAAAAGTTTCATTAGCTGTGATTGGACAGATGTGGGTTTTATACGGTTTTGCTTTGCCGCGACCATTTGCTTGAATAAGATAAAATAAATATGAAATGGATATAATGCGATAACCTTTTAAAATATAAAATTAGTTAAAACATCCGGAATTGTGGTTTTGCCTTCAAAATAAAAGAAGAAAGGTCTAAAAGACATGGCTACAGCGTTACGGTAGATGGCAATGAATACAATGTGCTAGGAAAATGTGATATTTCATTTTTATTGATAACTGAATACCCCTCTATGTAGTTTACATCTTTAACATTTACAATGTGATCGGCAGTAACCGTTTAGACTGAAAGTTGTTGAGCGGAAGTCAACGTGCTTACGCAATGCAGATGACTTATCAATCTAGTCCTGTAGCGTAATGAACTTGTGTTAGCACCGTGAAAGAACACCTGCTCTGTTACAGGTACACTTGTCCGTAATTACAATGTTATGACTCTCGATGTAAGCTAGCTAGCTGTCAGACTAACGTTGCCACTTAGCTCTAACCGTCTTTGCTGTCGCGGTACCGTTAGCTCAACGTCTTTACCATGTGGGTTTTCGGTTACGGGTCTCTGATATGGAAAGTGGACTTTCCCTATGAAGAAAAGAGAATTGGCTACATAAAAGGCTTCAGTCGTCGGTTTTGGCAGGGCAGTACCGACCACCGGGGAGTACCGGGTAAGGTGAGTATACGTTATTGCTTTGGGACCTGAAGCAATCTTGCTATTCTGAAATTGATACTATGTGGAGCTCAAAGTTGCGTTCACAGGGCAGAAACCAGGGGCAAACATGTATGAAAGAACTCCTCTAAACATGTAATTCACTAGTACTGATAAGTCCTGATAAGTGAATTCCTGAATTTTAGTTAAGTTGTGTAAACACAGAAAGATACTCACAAATTTGACATTGAAGTCTGTTGACATTACAATGTTAAAATCATTGTAAAAAAAAAAAAACACCACACTTTGGCTGTACTCATCCAAATGCAGTGTCTGAATATATAGTAACAATGCTACTACTACTATTAAAAGTAAAGTAACTGTAGGGAAAAGATGTGGCTATGGAGATCTACAAGCCATTAGCAGCTCATTATGATGCTATTTTATGACTACTATGATGGGAATTTAAACTATTCATTACAGGTTATACATTACAGTACACATCTTATATCATTCCCATAATCTTTCCTGTACTTCCCATAGTCTTTTTTGTTGCATGACCTACTTGGTTGCTGTAATGTACTGTATGTGATTTTGCTTCTTTTTCAAAGCGCCTGTTCCTCTGTCTTTTACAGCCTGGCCGGGTCGTGACACTTGTGGAGGATCCCGAGGTTAGACATACCCCTCCTAAACTTAATGGCACCATACAGTGTATTGTAAAAATGAATATTTTCATTATTAATTCATCTGATATATTCTCTTGATTAATTAATGAATCGTTAAGTCTATAAAATATCAGAAAATAGTGATAAAATGTCCATCTTAGTCCTAGGTGATGTCTTCAGATGTACTGTTTTGTCCAACCAACAGTTCAAAACCCCTAAATATTCAGCTTACAAATGATATATAACAGAGAAAAACAGCAAGTCATCACTGGAGAAGTGTTGTAGATGAATTTCCTCTCCGCTAATAAATCAATATATCATTTCAGCAGAATGCTAGTAGTTTTTCATCAGTTATTAATTTGATGTTTAATAAGATGCATACACATATCTACCTTTTTATTTGAATACCTAGCTTCCCTCATCCACTAAGATGACGATTAATTAAATTTGACATCGTTGCCATGAAGGTTATGTTGTTATTGGAAGACAGATCATACTAAGGGGCAAAGCAAACAAAATCATCTTTTATACAGTAATAATTAGATTAGGACCACCTGAGAATCATAATTCACTCACCTTGTCATTTATTACTGTATTAGTGCGTACAATTAACAGAAGACTTGCAGTGTGGAGGCCAGCAAACTAAGAAAGAAGGAAGGTGGCATCTTATACATCTGACTCAAGGGAAAGGACAGTGCAGTGTAGTGTGACCTTGGATGAGGGATCATTTGTTGTAGTTGATGGGGAAGATAAAGAGAGATACAGAGTGTGTCCTGTGATGTAGTGACAACATGGTAAGTGTCCAGAAAACATGAATTTAGAGGTGACTGATGAGTATCTTAAAAGTGTTATTGGTGAGCTTGAAATAACCGTTCATCATCTTTCTAAAGCAAGTCCCAATCTGTGATCACATCCACAGAACAGTATGTTAGTGCAAACAGAGGTGTTGCTGTAACTCAAGATTACATTATATTAATACTGAATACATGGTCAGTCCGGACTAATCGTATGTAGAGTAAAATGAATTAAGTATTAGTATTATTATTAAGTATTGGTTACAAGTAGGGCTGCTACTGACAATTATTCTCATTATCAATTACACTTCCAATCATTTTCTCAATTAAACAATTAGTTGTTTGATAGTGAAAAAAAACACTATCATTATTTCTTTAAGCCCAGTTTGCTTGTCTTTTCCATCTAACAGTCCAAAACTCAAAGATGTTCATTTTTACAATCATTGAAGACTGAGAAAACCCATAAATAATCACCTTTGAGAAGATGGAGCCAGTGGACTTTTGGCATTTTTGCTTAAATAATGACTTAAATGACTTAAATAATGTTCTTTTGCTTTTACTCTTTGTTTTCAGGGGTGCGTTTGGGGCATTGCCTATAAGCTGCCGAAGGGCCGGGAGCAGGAAGTGAAAAGCTACCTCGACTACCGAGAAAAAGGTGGTTATCAGGTCATCACGGTGACCTTTCACCCCCGTCCACCTCTCACTCCCCCTCCCAACCAGACGCTGCTCTATATCGGTTCTCAGGACAATCCAGACTACCTCGGCCCCGCCCCTCTGGAGGAGATAGCCAACCAGATCATCAGCTCTACCGGTCCAAGTGGGCAAAACACAGAGTACCTCTTTCAGCTCGCTGATGCTGTGAGGACAATTCTGCCTGAGGATTCAGACGCCCACCTGTTTTCTCTAGAAACTTTAGTGAGAGAAAGACTACAAAGTGGGCAGAAACACTCAAACACTCAAACAGGTTGATTGCAATTAAATAATTAAATAATAAGTCTTGATCAATGATAGATACCAGGCTGGATTTGGCAAATAATCTCAGGGTTTAAGATACACATGGAGCCAATCAGGATGTTTGTGGGGTTCAGAGAATATGTCGACAAAGTCTGTTTTCATCCTTGTTATTGTTACACTGCAAAGAAATTTCACCATTTCATCCCATGCCAACACATGACAATGCAAATAATAAGCTTCAAAATAGGACAAATGTCAAATACATAAAGGTACTGTAACTGGCATCCAAGCTACATGTTGAGTGATCACAAACACGTTGAATTAACCTCTAGGTTTACTCATTGTACAATATCCAGCAGCACAAAAGAGGAATGTCTTGAATGAATATGTAGTATATACTGAATATATGTGAACTCACAGATACAGTTGGTCTGTTTAATGCATTTTAAAACATAAAAACATCATGTGAAGTATGTGTGCACTGCTATCCCAAGTGGCATGAAATGTAAAAGTTCCAGTAGGTGTATTTTGTTACTCTAGAGCAGTTTTGTCACAGTTAAAGCCACTGAAAGCTTGGTTTCAAATATTTATTATTACTGTATAACATTAAATATTCATGACAAAATAAGCAACAGCGCAGAAAACATCTTTATGAGAGTTTAACACTCACAAACTCAGCTAATCTGCTTCATAAGGGCTGTGTGGGCGTGGCTTGGTCAGATATGCTGGTAACATGAGCAAACAACCCCACAACTGTTATCACATTTTGATTCATGTGTTGCTAAACTCTGATTGGCGCACGAAAGTATGCCACACCACCTCTTTCCGACTGAGCCACGTCCACTTCCAACTAAGTGAGAAGAGCTCAGAGAAAAATAACACAGACAGAAGTGTCCTATAAAGGGCGCCCCGGTGACTCACTTGGTAGAAAGCTTATGAGCCCCGGGTTTGAATCCAGCTGAGGCCTTTTGCTGCAGTGGCTAGTGGTCTTGATTACATGATTAACGTGATAATCCAGCTGTAGTAAATACCCGCCATCTCTCTTCCTGATACAAAAAGCAAATTTCAGGGAAGGTTTCATCATCAAACCACTGTAATCATGTTGTCAAGTTCTCAAGTGAACCTTGTTTATTCCAGACTGTACTTACCTTGTCTCAGTATATATGGACCTATTGGTGTTACAGCGTCAGCTATTAGCTGCTTCTCATTCTGCCAGCAAACGTGTCAGCACAGCGAACATATCAGCATCTCAGCACAGTGAACACATCAAAGTCAAGTCATTGAAAAAAAATCAACATGCCGAATAAAAATAGTGACATGTCTATCTGCGTGATCCTGTCCTTCTTAAACACATACACATACACTCACACATGCACCAGTTACCAGTGTCAGTAGCAGCATCTGTACAACATAACATGTTTGGCACTCACTGCAGAAATAAGCATCTCATCTACTGTATTTTTGAGCCCTCCCGCTCTGTGCAGACCCTAATCTGCTGTGAACAGTTACTGTATGTGAGATGGATGTCGGCAGATAAACTGCAGGTGTTTTACATGATCAGTGAACCCAACCCAAAGTGAACCAAACATACAGCACGCCAAACTCATTCTTCCTCTCTGGAATGAAATACATCTCACTTTACAAATGATGCAGTGAATTTATTTAACTGGGAACAACAGTAAATTCTCAGTGCTGAGCTATTGTATAATACAACACAGTTTGTTGTGTAGGTACATGACATAATGTTATTATAGCATATATTTTATTACTTATACTATATATGTTTATAAATATTATATACAATCAATTGCATAATTATATGAATATTAAGTATTATATATAGTGTTATAAGCATCATCACATTGTATGATAAATGTTGGATTACATTATAAGTGGAGAAATAACATTAGCGTTTGCAGTATTTTGTGCTATTCATGTCATTTTTTATATTAATTCTACATATTTTATATATGTTTTTCTTGTATTTAGTAAAAAATTGGACAGGCCCAATTTTTTATGTATTGTTCAAAAATGCTTTTAAAGTAGGTACAGTAGAGTGACATACTCAGAAATTGTGATATGAAAAGATAAAGAGGTATCTGGCTGAATGTTTTCTACAACAACAAAAATTACACCTAAATGGTCATAATCTCTAAAGTAAGGTGGCCACCTTTGGGGCTGTGGAGCTGCTTGGTGAGACAAAATAAACACACCAATGAGGTTAGCTATTTGAAACCGATTGTCTAGGACTGCCTTCCTGCTATGTTTACTAAAGGCCAACAGTGGCACGTGAGGTTCCAGAGGTAGGGCTCTAAGCCGCTGCAACATTATCAGATATCATTTTAACAGGCTGCACAGAGGACTGGAGTTCCCAACAGTGTTAAAAGGTATAATTATTTCCCTATGGTACTGATCAGTCAGTCTGTAGAGGACCTGGGAAGGCAGCTGGCTGTCTAGGCGTAGTAACAGGGTGACACCAGCAGGTCTGTGAGCACCAGCAGCTGATCGTCAGTGAAGCACTGCCGATGCTCCTGCCAGTTATCGTGGTGCGTACGCCTGAACTCCGACAGGGTCTTCTTCACCGTCATCTTGGGACAAACAACATAATCATCCATTAGAAATGAATTACTGACACACTGTTCATACAACCACGCCCAGCTCGCATTGGCTCACAAGACACCACATAATGATATAAACCAGATCCAGAATGCAGCGCACAATCTACTGTCCTGTACCTAGGTATAATTTTAGATACTAGTACTTTAGTCCACTACATTTACTTGACAACTGTAGTTACTAATTACTTTGTACGTTAAGATTTTAGAAAGATAAACTTAATTAAGAATGTGTTGCATTGTTTTTAAACCTCAAAAGTAGAAGTATATCAAGTAGTTCAGATCAGCTGTACCTCAACCAACTACAACATTTAAGTGCTACTTTAATGCATCACTAATAATGATCAAACTACATGATTATACAACACTCCTAGAGGGCCATATTTTTGTATAATGTGCACTTTTACTCTTGATACTTTAACTACACTTTGCATTTTTAACACACCTGATTCTTTCATCTACCAAGTCAGTAAATTGCAAAACAGTAAAAAAAAAAAAAAAGAAAGAAAAGAAAAGTAAAACCAAATCAAATACTTGTCACAAACAAGTTATTCAGAGGCTTCTTTGTGTCCAACAAAATTCATAAATCACTGACAAAAACATTTACTCTATAATACTGGAGAAATCAGAGTAAATACTAATGAAATAATCCATCTTGCTTTCTTTTCCAGGCTTTTGTCACAAAGTTAGAAAACTCATACAGATCAAAATTAAAAAGCCATTCACCTGTACAGGGTTTGTATTCCACGGTTTTATTGAGTCATAAATCAAAGTTGAGTCCTTAAATACTGTATAAATGCAATTTACAAAGGCACATCACACAACTCATGCGATCTGTTCTCCCTGTGAGCGGAACAGCCAGAGGGCGATCATTAGTTCTCGACTGTAAATGAGCAACATATGATCCTGTTTAATATTTTTATGGGTCATTCATTTTGGTTTTGAAAAGATATTTTCAAAACTTTTTTTTTTTTTATAACTTAAGTAAAAGCTCATTGAATGGACTAAACTACAACACAAATTATTCCTATATCCCTCTTGGAATGAAAAAGTACATTCACAAGTGACTTGTTTATCAGAATTAGGACGTTTCCATTAAACTCTGCAGTAAAACTCCTGCAATGAGGAGGATGTTGATAGTTCTTTCGCTTGCTTCATTTGTTTTGAGGAGCGCTTGATAACAACCACTATCTATTCTTTCAATAGGAGCTACCCTTAAGTTTAATAGTGGAACTAGAAACAGGCTGAATATTGCAAAGTAAACGGTTCCTGCTTGAAGCGGTAAAACAAAATTACTGCCACTTTCTGATCTGGAGACCCACGATATAAAATGCAGTGTAGAATCCTACAGCAGCTGACGATCCTTCTTTGCCGTGGTCTTGTTTGTTTACATTAATTAAAAACTAATGATTTATTGATGCTAAAATGCCAGATATAACAATTTAAATACAGCAGAGAAATTATTTAAAGTGGAACAAGTTTGGAGTGAAAAGTTAGTGTGGTTCAACAAGGACACAAAAACGGGGAATTAAACTGATGATCACTATAATCAAGGATGTAGTCATGACTTAAACATGGGGCACATTCATTTTACATTATGGCCTTCAAACAAAACAATTAGATTTGATTTTGAGGAGGGAAGCAACAAGGTTCCTCTAGCCTGACAAGCAAAACTGATTTAGACTACAGATCAGTTAGTGTCATTTATTATTCAGCCATTTCTATAAAGAATTTGTTCAACTATTTTTTCCAGGAGTCTTTGCAACAGAAGCTAATTCATCTACTTGCAAATGTATTTTTTTTTAACTGTATTCCATTGTATTCTCTTTCTCATCTCTTTCACTTTGCAACAGGAGAAGCTCTAAATTATCATCATCATTGGCTCCCCATCACTGTAATGTATTATTCAAACTCTGCACTACGGATTACATTGTATGTCTTCTTCATGCCTGAAGTAAAGCCAAAGACACAATTTTCTCCTCAATTGGACAATGAAATTATATTCTTTCAGCTCACACTGTGTCGAGCTAGATGTTTGTATATGAGTGTTTGCACCTGTGTGTGTACTAATGTGTGTGTGTGTGTGTGTGTGTGTGTGTGTGTGTGTGTGTATGTGTGTGTGTGTGTGTGTGTGTGTATGTACCTCTATAGGCTGTGGGTCGTTGAGATGGTCGCTCAGGTCCATCAGTATCTGAGGCATCCAGTCTGGGACATCGTAGGGGCTTGAAAGGATGCACGCACTGAGGCCGAGCACTCCAGCATGGCGCCGTACTAAGTCTGCACTCACACACACACACACATTTACACGCACGTCACAATCACACATTGAGGCAATCACAGTAATACTTGCCCTATTACCCTTTCTTATCCCAAGAGAATTGTGAACCTTGAAATGGTTAGGGCCATTTTAACTCTCCGCGTGTGTGTGTGTGTGTGTGTGTGTGTGTGTGTGTGTGTGTGTGTGTGTGTGTGTGTGTGTGTACCTGTGGAGGCCAGCTCTCCTCTGGCCTTGGGGAGGCGAGTCTGACTCAGCGTCTGGAGCTGTGTCTGCAGACTGGAGTCCAGAGGGAAGAACTGGCACTGCAGTAAACCACTGAGGGTGGTGCCTGCCATGTCCCTCACCTACAGGGAGAAGGAGGAGAGAAGGCGGGGAAGAGGGAGGGACAGCAAGGAGAGAGAAAGAGTCGGAATTTTTAAAAAAAAAAGAGACCCGTGGAGATCAGAACCGACAGTTTTAGGGCAGTTTTTAAGGCGAGAAACGCGTACACAATTTATTAAAAGAGGTGAGTGCAAGGAGATCGGGGAAAAGCGAGGTACATGGGACAGAGATGAGCAGACGAGGAGGAGGAGGAGGAGGAGGAGGAGGAGGAGGAGGAGGAGGGGGAGGGATAGATGCTGAGTTGAGCTGAGGTAAAATTCACTTGCAGAACATCACTGCCTTCCTGCATCACTTTGCTTAAATTATGAATAAGCACTGAGTGACGGCTGATGCATTGAAACAGACAATAATACAAAGACAACACATTCACCAGCTGTACACTTACACAGTTTACAAAATATTAAGCACAGCAACTGCTTTTGTAATTTAGACATCTCGCTTGAAGCCTAGTGCTTATTGATTTTCACCTGTACATCCAGATCAATGGAAAAAGACAGATTGAAGACGGTTTTAAAAGCACAGACACAAGTGAGACATGGATTGGACAAAAGATGACGTATTAGAGGGGATCTGCACAGAAGTAGTAAAGTTGATTTTATTGAATTCAATAAACACATATTAATAATAAATGAACATAGCAACAGTTCGCCAATATCAACAGTCAAAACAAATGAGCACTGAGGTAATGGGGTTATTTTTAAGCAATAACTGTGAATAGAAAAGAGGGATTAAGATTTAGTAAGGAGAGACTAGGGGACAATAAGTGGCCATTTATAATCCCCTGACACTTATACCTTACAGAGCAGCGATGGCTGTATTAAACCAGTTTGTGCTGCCTTTTTGTGCATACATTACCTCGAGCTGTTCATCAAGCAACAGCTGCATCACCAGCTTTCGGATGCGTAACACCTCAGCAGGCACGCTGAGCAGGGTAAACAAGTTGTAGAAAACCATGATCTGGAGGTAGGTCAGGACTGAGTAGCGTGCATGCCATGATCTGCTGCCTGCCATCTACAGAGCGGGGAGAGAG